AAGAAAATAAATAATAATAAAATATAAAAAATTCGCGAGGTAAGCAACTATATGAAAGGATATAGGAAAAACTATACATTTTCGTTCCCGAGTTATAGAAAATTTATTTGCATCGGTAAACGAATTGCAGATTTGATATTTCAGCATTGCTAACAAAATAATAACTCACCTCCATAGAAGATGAATTAATATTTATTAAGAAACAAAGATACAAAAACTAAGAAATGAACTACGTTAATTCAAATCACCATAACACCACACAAAATCATAACACCAAGACGTCACCAAGAATTCCGACACTGAAATGAATGATAAGGAATTAACAATGGTTATTTCCACTGTGGTATTAACCAGAGTTTGCGTGGTCCGCATGGGTTCACAGCGTCACTCCCACTCACAACCTGTTGAATAGCTCTCAAAAATTGCGTGCTCAGTTGATTCACGAAGAAAAACGAAGAGTATGTACTCTAAAGTAAAATAACACTCCACATGCGTGGTGAAACGCTTATATTCTACTCAAGAGTAATTATCGTAGAGTAATGCTTACTTTTAGGTAACTATTAACTTCACTCGGCTGTTGGTGTAACCGGCCCTCAGTGCTCCAGCTCATGAGACTGGCGGAAGAACTGGATTTTCCCCAACTAGGAGTCTCCCACTGATGGGGCACTGCCCCAGCCGGGACAGGTTCTAAGCTCCCGGCTGGTCTTCCGGTATGACTGTTAGTGCAGTGCATTATGTGTAAGTGTGTGTAAGGAAGGGGTGGGGAAATGTTCAGGAAGATCAAGGCAATATCGCGCGCGGTCCGTGGCCCTATTGTTAAGGTACTGCCTTTCCCCCCGAAGTTGCATAAAGTTCTGTGCGCCCTGCGCGTGTCGCCGAGGCGCCGCACCGTCCAATGGCGGCGCCGTCCGTCTCCGGGACGGCGCGTGGGGCGCGGGGCGCCATTGGTCAGCGGGCGCCGGCAGGGAAAGTCCGAGCGTTGCCGAGGGGCGGTGGCTCGGGCCGGGGGCGCCCCACAGTCCCTTCGACAGTTGGCTGCAACGCGACGCCGCGGGCGAACCGCCTGCTCGCCAGGGGGCAGCGAGCAACAGACACGACGCACTCTCCGCCCAGCGCCGATCGGCCCATACGGGACTACCGTTTCCATTCCAGCTCTTCCCTTCAATAACAAGTAATAATGAATATTATTTCTTCTTCAGCTCTTTTGAAGATGTATGAAGTTATGTCTAGAGTTTAGGTCAGAAAGAAAAGAGTCTTATGCCTACATTTCGGTCTTTTACCGGGCCTTCTTCAACGCTTCTATTTTCTTTTTCGCTATTCCTCAATTTTTCTTTTACATTTTTTGACGAGTTACACTAATAATTGCATGTGAATTTTTGATTAGTAATTTTAGTCAGGATTATTGGTCGTTCTATACGCGATAACGAATGTACACACAATGATGTAAAAAATGTGTACAGTAATTAAATTGAATACCGACGACTGACCGGCATGACGAAACACTGAAGTTGCTGTCAACAGCTCTTCGTTAGAGCGTGGATTCATTGTTTCAGTCATGGACGCTCCAGTGCTCTACAGCATATTCCAAGACTGCATGCTTCTACTTTGACGACAAATTTAATTACAACACGGGTTTCGGTAAATATCTGACTAAAGTGTTCAACAACTTATAAAGACTATCCCGCAAAGTTTTGCCTCGTTTGAAGTGGTGTCTGAAGAGCCCGGGCCTTTGCGAAGGCAAAGCGGCGCCAGCCGAGACTGGTGACATCTCGGACTCGCACAGGAATGAGCTCGAACAAATGTCGTCTTCTGCGCAACAATCTCTGACGGGGCTGCCGATATTTCCACCATCTTCTAGTGGTCTTTTCCAGGGCTGGTCTGCCAGGTCTTCCTCAGGGTTAGCTTAGTGTGGGTGACGCAGCGTCACCTAGACAGCCAAGATCTCAACTCTGGCCGCAAAAGCCTACGACTTCAGGATTTTGATTTTTCTTCTATTTTGAGTACGAAATTTCATAAAAGAACTCTCCGTCAAGAAAATTTCACTTCAGAATCACGGAGCTGAGAAAAATAGTGAGCGTTTAATTTCTCTTGTTTCAATGGACGACATCAAACATGTTTTCACAAGAATTCACTATTTGTCTTGACATAAAATATCATCTCATAGTTGTAAGCTAACCTCTCCTCATCAACGCACGAAAAAATAAAAAATATTTTCGTCAGGACATTGCCAGCGTTTTTACATCAATGAGATATTATGCATTCGCCGTTAATACAGTTGATTTGTAATGGTTCCGTTCTCGTCATGGAAATGGGTACTGTTAATGACAGGGGTCACGGCAACTCTATGAATACAATACTCAGTAGTGTTTAGTCGGGTATGCGTTTCAGACTGATGACACCATGCTGAAGTGTCGGCTAGCAGATTTATAATAATAGCCAAATATTTCCAGTAAAATTGTTGCCGGAATTTGGGGAAAGAATATTTACGTGTCATATGCTTCCCAGTTGTCCGTGTGAGCTGCCTGTTATTTAAGACCTATCTACATAAGTTGTAGCAATACGAGTAGTTTACTTTTTGAAACGCTTTTCGTGGTGTCTTTATGAGAAGAAACCAATATTTATTACTGAAATGTTACATTGAGTATAATTATTAAAAATAATCGCGTGCATCGACCAATGCGCACATTATGAAATTGTTGCGCGAATTGACATATGGCTTTTGTGACTATTTTGGGAGTGTTTATTTGAACGAATGCCCGTCACCAATGCTCTTATTGGGTGGCGAAAATTATTTACATTGTAACCTTTTTTGGAGACGAAAAATTTGAAAACTAGAAAAGCCCCATAACAGTGTTTGGAGCTGGGAATTATTGGAAAATGAAAATGTTTCTTTAGGTTAAAGGTATTTTTCAATATTATTTGTCTACATTGATTAATCATTGCGAAGAAATTATTTCTTAAAATTTGCAAGTTGGATTGAAGTGTACGATTGAAAATGTTGATAAGAGAGATTGGCGGCCTTCCTATTGGGAATTTCCAATTTAAAGGATATCTGCTGACAGTTCACTCCAGCAGACAGACCTAATTGGAAAATGTGATGGTTTTTGAAACGTGTACGTGTCCCAGAGGCTTAATGCATAGGTAAAATATCATGTTTGTTCATGAAATGTTAATACTTCCGAACTCAAAAGTTCTCGGGAGAGCGTGACTAAAAGTCATCGATGTAGTTAAAAATTGTAAATGAAATATCATTATGTACATTTCCTTTAGATTCGAAAGTGGTAAATGTGAAGTGAAACACGTTTTAAAAAATTAATATAGAATCAAAACTTCATAAAATTTTCCAATAATGAAAAAATAATAATTAAGTTACATTTGTTTTTGTTATTTAATGTTGCGATTCACACATTTAGAATTCTCTTGAGTATTATTGTTAGATCTTATGAAAATGTACACATTATTTTTTTCCAGATGACATTCTACGTACAAGAATAATTTCTGAGGATTCCAAAACTGTGATGATAATAAAATCAAATTCAGCTTAATTATTGTTTTCTCATTATTGTAAAAATTGTCTGAAGTTTTTGGTCAAATATTTAATTTACAAACAACAATATTTAATGTTTGAAATTTTTAACAGTATAGGAAAGTTAGAACAGTAAACAAAACTTGGTAATTGGAACGAGAAAATATATAGGGTCTAATTTTTCTTAATATTATATATATATATATATATATATATATATATATATATATATATATATATACGTTAAACACATTGTTTAGACTTCCGGAAAAAAACATAGGAATGAACCTGGTGCTTATTTACGTAATCATGTCGTCACATTCATTATTGGATTTTTACGGTTGTTGGCAATATTTTGAATGCGCGGAGTATACAAATCAAAATTGTAATAAATGTAGTTGTAGAAAAAAACGTTGATAGAATCTGACTTTTAACGGTATATGTTACAGTTCTAAAAAATCAGTAATAAATAATTTGTGTTTATAACAGAAACCATGAACCCACGTAGTATTATCAGTGAGAGGAGTCAGAGGTACTGCGATGATTGTTTTTTATAGGTTTAAATTTTTTATAAAACCGAAAATCATTGACTTTGTTTCTGATAAGTTTTTTGGTGAAAATGTGATTATCACAAGTATTGGTTATATTTGAATTACTGCAGCGTTTTAGCACTAGTAAAAAAAATTAACGATTCTCTCGAAACTGAAGCGTTCAGCGATTATGTTAGGAAGATGAGGTAAAATGTCATACATTTTGTCTTTAAATGAAAATATTGATGCGAGATTGTCGATACTTGCACCAGAGACCGAAATTGAAGAATGCTTGTTGTGTAATTGAATGCATATTGGTATTTATATAATTTATATTAAGTTTTCAAAATCGTCGAAATCAATAAAATCAACATTTAAGCAATAGGCTCCGAAGGACCCTTTGGTAGGAATGCACGGTACCTTGTTGAGATCCATACCTTGATCTGGAGGAGAATTGTAGCGGCCGGCTGCCCTGATTCGCTTTTTCAGCTGTTTGTCGTGGTTTCTCCAACCAACACAAGGCGAATGCCGGAGCAGTACCCTAACAAACGAGCCAAGGTTTATTTCCCTTTCACACACTCACACTAACATGCCCTACACGTCCACACATGTCGGGGGTTTGAGCGTGTCCCGGCTGTGGCGGTACCCCGTTGATGGGTGGTACCTGGTTGGGGATATCCCGGCAAGCCGACGTATTAGTCGGCGCTGGATATTGCTCTCCAGTAGGGGAAGATCACCTTCACCTTGCATGATAATAGAGCATGTACTACACTTACTACAGCCCACGGAAGTTGACGCGCCGGAATCATTAATGAATACATCATTTTATACCACCTAGGTGTGGCAGAGCGAGGGCAGCGCGAGTGGGTTGCGAGGGGGAAGGACGGAAGGCGGCAGACGCGACCCGAGTGGCGCTGCGCCGCTGCCAGCGCCTGTGCCGCCTGATGCGAGAGGGTGAGCGGGTGAGCGGGCGGGCGGCAGGCGGGCGGCAGGCGAGCGGCGCCGCACCGCGCCGCGCCGACGGAGAGAGGGAGGGGGGCGCCGGCCGGGGAGGGGAGACCGCAGCCGCAGCCGCCGCAGCCGCCGCCGCCGAGCGGTCAGTAGCGTGCGCGCGTGCGAGACGAGCACACTGTACTCTCACGGTGCTCCGCCTCGCGCACTTCGCTCGGTCTCCCGTGCCGGTCGCGTAATCTTGTGCTTGTGGCGGTGTACCTCTCCCCAAGCGCCGGGACGGGATACCGCGTCTTCTGCGACGGCTCGACGGTTTCGCCTCGCCGCCGCCACCAGGAAATTAGGCTTTTCCTGAATTTGCTCCGACCGAGTGGTGTTACGACCCGAGCGGGACACGAAGACGGATGTGACTGTCGCGTACCACATTTTCACCCGACCGTACGTGGCGGCGAACGACGCAGTGTGCCGAGTGATCGCAACGCCTCCAATACCAGATGCGTGTGAGTGCGGGAGTGTCAGACACACGCAGTGTGGTGCATCCATGTGAAGACGCAGCCGCGGATGTTTGAAGGGATGAGCGAGAGGAGCGGGCGAAGGATTCCCTCGGTAGGTGTGGCGCGTGAAATTGTGGGTGTGTATGAATGAATGTGTGTTTGCTGTGTGCGTGCGTCAACGCATGTGCGCGGCGGTGACAACGTGATTTCCACACAAACGGACGGACAATTCCGAGTTGCTCCAAACATATCCGCGCCTGGTAAAAAAGGGAGGCAAAAAAGTGGCAGCAAGGCAAGGCGAGTGGGACTCCGCCTGCGTCGGGAGCATCCGAGAGCGGCGTGGCGCGGCGGGCACAGCAGCGGGCTGTGTGGAGCGGGCGGCGCGGCACGACGCTCCGCTTGGCGTGGAAGTGCAGGGCTTCGAACCCGGTTGCGGCGCGGCACAGCGGCGCCTCGCGGGTGGCGCGTCCGCCGCCGCCTGCTCTGGCACGCCGCCAGGGCGCCGCCTCCCCGCATCGCCCCGCGCCCCCGCCCGTAATGCATGCGCTGCCTCCGCCGCGCCGCGCCGAGGCGCTCGGATTTTAGAAACGCACGGGTGTGCGATGCATGCCCGCCTTGAATTGGTTTGCGCTCGGCTTCCATTTCGTTTTATGCGCTTGGACTATTCGCGTGTCCTGTCATTTCTTCTGTTCCTTTTAGTGCGGGAAGAAATCATCACAAGACACCCATATTGTAATTTCCTCCGCCGCTCGGATTTTAGAAATCATGTCAATTGATATGCGCGCGACGCCCACTTCATCGTACACGATTTTTTTGTTTATTTCACTTGTCCTATAATTTCTTTTATTCCTTTTTGTACATGAAGATTACCTAGTACAACGACCGTATTTTATTTTACTGTAAATCTTGTGTAGTCTCCATATTTTGTGTGTAATATCTATGCATCTCAGCGAGCTTTTACCAAGTATTTTGGAACAGCTGCACGCTTCGTTTTTCCCTTTGTTCTTCAAATAAAATCGCATCATACCCGTCAGCGTATTTTAATGAGTGTGTTCTTCAAAGTGTTTTCAGATCGCGAAACACCACTGAACTGTTGTACTTTTGTTCTGATGTATATGAAAACATTAACCAAACCAGTACTGTAATTTCCTAGACACGTGATTCATTGCCCATGAACTTGCAGATCCGTCTGGTATCGCGTAGAATGTATGCTGCTGGACGTCTCCTGAAAGAACTCCCATTCATAAAGTTGGTTGGGGCGTGTGAGTGAGCGTTGGAAGCTGCAAAGGCGTGCGACAGTTCCGCCGAGTGGCACCGCCAGCGGTGCAGCGGCACGTGTTAGTGTGCGGCGCGCGGGCTATGCCGCGGGAGGGAGCCCGCCCCCTTAAGGAAGTGCTTACTGTGCCATTTTGTGGTTTATTATCTTCAGTGTAAACTCAATTTCATTGCACGATGGAAGGAAAACCTGCACGTTCTTCACGAATTAAGTGACCGGTCGTTTTATGTTACGTGCCCCGCCCCCTTTTTTGCGTCCACAAGAATTCAACGTAATACAATGTAACATTCTTATTTAGAATACTATTTCATATATGGCGCAACAGGTACAATAATTCCCAAGGCAACGAATAATTAATTTTCAAGTGGTCGTGTGTCAGGATTAAACCTTTTCTGGTATGAACATTCAATTTCCTCTATTATTTAAATGAACTCATTAAATCCGGTGTAAAAGTTTGAAATATATTAAGAATCATAAACTCTGACTCATCTGTCCTAGGGGGCGGTATACATCCATGTTCAATCAACCGCGTATGTACTGTAACATAACCTCTTTGATTTTAACATGCTTTTAGTTACTTTCAATATTTGGCGCACTTTGGAACTCCGGACGTAATTTCACTCGTAGAATAGTCCTATTAAATACCAATCGTACTTTGGAAATTCTCATATAAATCCCCTCTTCCCGTCGCGAGTCGGGGATTTACCGACAATTTCCAAAGCACTCGTATTACGATTTATTAACTTACTAATTATGAAAAACGTGTTAATATCGTGTCTCCTCTCCGGAAGGGCGTGCATTTGGCCTGCTCGTGGACCTACGCTGGGCAACTAGTGCCTGGGAAATTTTCATTTGGCAGTTTTTTTTATTAACTTGTATTAGCTTATTCTGTTCCATCAAACACTAGTTAGCGCGAGTTCGAAATCGTGAAACGTAAATGCCTTGAATTCGCATTTATTAAATTTAAATTTGTATTTTGAATGAAAGATTTAGATCAAAATGTAAGAAATTGTAGACAATTCAGAGTTCATTTTCCCGTTGGGATATGTCCAGGCACATTTATTTGGAACTGAAACGTCTGTTTAGTCTATATTTCTGAATTCTTCAAAAGTGCTTACGGTCTTAAAAAATCAAAATAGGGTAGTGTGAATTTTTTATTATGTGTATAATTTTCTTATTGTATAAAAATATTTGTTAGGATGGTATTAAAACGTGATTTTCTTGCTTTTCTGGCCATGAGCCAAAATAATTTCATGGCTCCAGCGTTAAAGAGCGCTCTGTTGATTTTCACACCGTGAACATGTGAGATTGCTCTGCACTCTATTTGCTGTCATGAGAATGCTAGGGCGCGGTTGTATTTTAATGAGTTCGGAGCAATATGTTTGTTAATTTTTAACTGAATTTTGGAGAGAGAGAGAGAGAGAGAGAGAGAGAGAGAGAGAGAGAGGAATTTTTAATGAATTTTGAATCCCTACTTATTTTAAATGAATTTATTTAATTTTACACATACGACTTGTGCTACACCTGCCCTCCTTGCTTGGGATACTGGTGACAGACTGCCTAAAATCTGAGGCACAAAAGTTATTATTCACTGTGTGGAAAACATGAGATGTTTGTTTCTTCTCAATTATTTGGGCGAACAGGTAATGAAAGTCAGGATTTACAGATTTATTTAGTCTTCTTTGTCTATATTGAAGTTGCGAATCCCTTTATGCACTAATATTTTCATTTTTCTTTTAAATTCACATTTAAGTAACAAATCTGCTAAAATAGTGGTGAATCTTTTTGCCGTAGAATTTTTAACTCTACAAAATGTCTTACTTTCCAAGTCACTCAAGCAATAATTATACCATGGGGCTTTGTATGTTAATAACCGTGATTATTTATTAATGAATGAAGCCATTAATGCAGTATCTGAAAGGATTTTTGTAGATAAATACATTATTTCATTTTAACATTTCAAGAGCATAAGGACTGTATCCAAGTTTGTACGAAGTGTAAGAACGTGTTTTCCATCTTTATAGTTGATTTTAAAATTGATTTCCCCTCTCTATGCCTTATACCTTATTTTAGTCTCCTTCGCATCATGAGCTGTTTTGTGGACTTGAGTTAATAATATACTGTGAGAGTAATACCAATATACAGTGTGCTGTCCCACACATATTTACGGTCCTAAAACATATGGATGGAAACCATTTACATTTTGGACGATATACGTACATGCGAGTTGTGCAATATATAGGATCAGATTTTGCTTGGAATACAGTTGACAGACTGCCTAAAATTCTGCTTTTTGTACATCAAATCAAGATCTGATTATGTGCTACAAAATTGCATATGTTGTGCATTTATACTGAATCCAATAGCTTTAATTTCTTTTCTTGAATTTCTCCATCCATACCTTATTCTTTGGACTATCAGAAAACACGTTTATTAACAATAATCTTCGAACCATTTTCCCCCTTGTTTCTGTGATTAACAACTCGTGAAAAAGGATCGATTTATCACAATCACAAATTCATTTTATTTTATTTACTCTATCTGAAATTGGTACAAACCATGGCATTGGAGAGGGAAGGGAGGAGCCGCATGTATTACCCAGAAGGAAATCAAGGGATCGTGTCCACTTGAGCTCTGCGGACCAGAATGATGTCACGGACCAGTGCCGCCAGAGTAGTCGAGGGCGATCTTGGAGAGCGCCTCTATTACCCCTCCCCTCTCACGAAATATCGTACGTGCCATTTGGGAACGGCGTACGATGCGAAGCCCTCCCGAGGAGCGGCTTTTCGCCACAATATGCGGTGGCGAATATTGTAGGGACGAATGAATTGGAAGCTGTGTTTTTTTCATTCGTGGTGACGTTCATGTTGATTTTCCACCACTTAGCTGATTTTCCTTCACATTGTGGAAAGAAACACTAGAGAAAGGAATAGGAAATCACAATCAAAGGTATTTAATTCCAGTTATTCGATTATTTACTCGTGACGTGCAAGTTATAACTGATTTTTCGCCTCATAAATAGAAGTACATTGTATATGTTCGTAAGAGGAAATCAATCTGTGCATTTATCTATTTTCGTTACCCGATGTTAAGCGGCATCTGGGAAATAGGAGGGAGGGATGCGACATCGACGTCCATGTTTTCAAAACGTATGGGTTTTTATAACAACATCCATGTATTTAACTTCGATGTTTTAAGCCGATATTTTTAATACCGATGTTTTGAATTCGATGATTTTACGTCGTCGTTATTTTTTAAATGAAGAAAGTCCATCATACATTTCTGTACTTTCAGATATCCATAAATTGAAAATTGGACACCAAAATGACCTAGAATGAAAAATATACAAAATCAAGTTTTCATAAATAAAGAAGCCTATATTATCACAATCAGATAATCGAAGTTTGTTCATTGTCCTTAAGATTTTTTTTATTATCCTGGGCCTAAGTGATATTTTCTACCAATCTTGTTACGTCCCTTGTTTTGCAGTTAGAAAGAGTTAAAAGTTACAAATTAACTTTTTCAACATTATAAATTAACTTACTCTACAGTTCATTTGTATGTCATATTGACCCACTATAGATGTCTATATCGAGTTTGACTGTCTGTCTAACTACTGTCGACTCCGCTAAACGACAATTCTCATATTTCCACTGACTATGACAGATGAGTTAATGACTAATCTTTTTCTTCTTTCCCCAGTGTAATGCCTGTTGTAGTTTTTGTGTGAGACTCATCACTTTTGTGCCAATCTTCTTGTATCTAAATTTACTGTGCGTACCTCGCAATTTACTCTAGTGACCAGCCCTGGTTTTCTCAAAGCTTCGCAGCCCAATCGTGTAGTCCACCCGAACCCCATCCAGTCTCTCCAGAACCCCAGCTCATGAAAGTTCTCACCCCGGTATGAAAGCAACAAAGACCGATGAAACCTCTTTGGGGACCGGAACCGACCCAGAGCAATCGTTTAAAGGCCTTGACAGTAAAGCCTTCATATGACTAACATAAAAATGAATGAAGTAATAGCCCGCAGTAGCTAAAATACTGCTGAATGAAGCCACACAAAATGGTTTTCCAGAAAGTACCATACACACTGCTTAAGAATAACAAATAAATTACTCTGGGATATCATTGCAATAAAGTAAATATTTTAACACGTTTTCACGAATATTGCAATAACTTGGTATATAATATATAAAGTACGGCAATTCTTTACATACCAATAAAGTTCTTCCATATCTTCACTCGTGAATAGCAGATGGCGGAAGGACTCTTCCCTCTGAGCCTTGCTGTTGCATGACATCATTAGTGACACAATGAGCATGATAATTCAGTCGATACGAGAAAAGATTTAAAAACACAATCAAGTATTTACATGTTTCAGTCAAAATCGAAACTGTTTCATTGTTTTTATATTTTTCTCGAGTTCCTGTGTATGTATCGAAACCACAGAGCCTGTAACATGTTCAGAGGCTGCCTGGCTTTCTTTCAATTTGCGCACGCATTCAGAGCAGTGGCAGATCCAGGGAGGGGGGCATTTGGAGCAATTCCCCCCTTTCCCTCCCCCAGGGCCTAGAGTTTTCGTTTCTTTCTTTCTTTCTTTTTTTTTTGGGCAAAATTGATATATATATATATATATATATATATATATATATATATATAGAATTTATGTTAGAAATATGTAATTATTTACAATATAATTTTGTTTAGTATCATATATACACTAAAATAAACTATAATGACAAAAGTTTATTATTAAACTAATATGTATGATGGCCCCCTCTAAAATGATGAGCTGAATCCGCCCCTGCAGGAGAGTGACGTGCGTGTGTGTGTGTGCGCAGATGAAGCTGCGGCTGAGTGGGCTGGTGCTGGCGGCGGCGCTGCTGGCCGCGGTGTTGGCGTTGGCGGACGCGCGCAGCTCTCCGGCGCGCAACTCCTCCCACGAACGGGAGCGCGGGCCGTCCCCGGAGACGTACGGGCTCCGGCCCGAGAGCGCCGACAACTTCATCTTCACCCTGCACGAGCCGCAGGGCAAGCAGTACGACCCGCGCGCGCGGGACCTCAACGTGACGGCGCTGCTGGCGCGCCTCGGCGCCCACTTCGACCCGAGCTACATGAGCGTGCACAAGCCTCCCAACGCCACGCAGCTGGGCTTTCCGTTCCGCCACCACAAGGGCGGTGAGTGGCTCTTCCCCCTACTCTCTCTCCTCAGCCTTCCCCGCCGGCTTAGTGGCTCAGGGACTCTGACCGGAAGGTCCTAGGGTTTCACTCCCGACGGGGGCTGGATTTTCGACACTAGCTGCTTAGCTATGTTGGATTCGGTCGCTGTCTGGAAGAGAATCCTACTGGCCGGCCGCTGCGATCAGCACCCGGCGAATGTCGGAGCAGTAACTTAACGAACGGGCCAAGGTCTTTCCTTAGTCGGGAACTTCGAGCTTGTCCCGGCTTGGGCGGTGCCAAGGCTGGTGGGAGGTAGCTGGTTGGGGAAAACCCTGCAAGCCGACATGTAAGTTGGCTCCGGTTCTCCCCACCCAATGGGGAAAGTTTACCGCGATAAACATTTTCGGAACCAATGATCTTAGCAGTTGACGCGCCCGGAAGTACGAATCAAGAAATCAATCGAATACCCTTTCCGTCTTCCTCCTTTCCTCTGTTCCTCTTATTCCCTATTTGCTTTCCCCTATTTCCCCTTTGACTTTTACACTTTCACTGCATCTTCTTCGCTATTTCCTTCCTTTCCACCTTCGCTTTTTTTTTCTTTCTTTCTTCATATCCTTTAATTTGGACTTGCAATTCACTATCGTGTGTTAAACGGAACCTCTGGCACAGCACAGATTGTCACAGCGTTTTATTAAAACGGATCAAAATAACTTCTTTAGCTTAGTTTGGAATAATGAAATTGACAATAGCTCGAGGAAAAACTGTTAGATCATGAACGATGAATTCTAGCCAAGTAAGCAAACGCATTGAAGAAAAATAGATATTTCTTTGCACATTGTTGTGCATTCTACGACCACATCCTTTATATATGGATTTTAATAAATTTATTCTATTCTGTAATGTAGTGAGGGGTATTATATCGTGCAGTGTATTTGACGCAGTTTTTATTATACTAATAATTATTATAGAATGTTCCAAAAATATGTTCATCATGCTGTTATATTCTGTATAGGTTTGTTTCATGCTCTTACCTGGCAGGAATTGGTGTGTGTATCTTGTAAACGTGTGTTACTACAGAACGAAAGCTCTACGTTTTATTAAAATTATTCACCGTTTGTTTCCTCAGAATCATCATCATTCCGTCATTTTCCCTGATTCAAGAGCTATACACTTTTACGAAGGGAAGCTTCAATAACTAACTACAAATTAAAGTCCAAATTTCGGATTAAGCAATAGTAACACACTCATTAATTAAATAAATTTGTCGTTAAACTGACTTAACACTCAGAGATGGAACCAAAACATTGTGAAGTTGTCACATCTCGCAGTATCGTTCTTATTGACTCGATTTATTTCATTCAGTATATTTAACAATATTTCTTCTATTTTTCGCGATATCTTTTATCCTTTTGCACGCAATTTTATGGAATTCTTGCTTTTCCTCGTGGTCGTCAATTCAATACAATTCCCATTGCATTTTCTCCTATTTGGAGGTGCTCGGAAAGCCACCGAATGTAAACAACCATATTCCGTCTGTCATTACCGTGGGTTTCTCGTCTGCATTGACGTAATTCGAATATTTATTTCACTATTTCATTTATAGAATGAAAGAAAAATTCGGCTTTTTGAAGTATGATAGTGGGAATGTTTGGCAGATTGTCATTTGCATTACGTTTTCATTACTTGAATGGAGTTGAAGTTTCTTGCAACCCATCAACTCGCACTCCGCGGCTTTGCCTTTGATGCGGAAACTCGACACGGAAGAAGATTCTCTCAGTGCACTGTGAGTAGATACCTGGGGGAACATTATGATTTACTTTTAGATTCCATTTTCCTCGAGTCTAGTAATTCTCGTACTTTGCTCTCAATTTATTCCACCTAATTACAATTAAAATTTAGTTTTAAAAAACACATTAGAAGGAAATGTATCTCTTAAATTTGTAAATTTTTTTGATGGGCGCAGAACGTTCTTTTGGTAACATGCTCTTTTGCAATCAATGCTATTAATTACAATTTTATTTTACGGGTGATTATTTTGTGCCTATCGTAGACACGCTGGGATAAAGTATGTTGCCCATAGCTTTTGTGATAATACTGCTGATTGGAAGTACTTTCTTCGAAGCGCTTGCTACTAAAAGTGTTGACTGCGTGCGCTGAGTCAAGTCAGGAGCAGGAAGAGTCGATGAACATCTCGGCGCACAACAGTTTTTAATTCAGACTGCATTGGAGTGAAGGTCGTTATTGGTTGGTGAGTTAATAAAAAACCACCGTATCTAGAGTGGATGATGCATGGCACTGCGTCATACAGCATTAACGACCTAGACCGCATCGACGTATTGTGGGTCTGCAATTGTTCAAAGAAATTGAGCGAGAAAAAACTGCGTTATTGTGAAAACCCATTAGAATAGATACTTCGGTATATAGCGATATATGTTAATTACAAGTATTACAAACGATGAGGCAATCTTGTACTTCCATCAAAAAGTCGTTTTAAGGATGGATAATTAGTAGTCCTTCCTTTCTACGAAATTAATTGTTCTCTTATGATTTGATTTCCTATCCTATATAGCTAAGCGGATGTGGTATAATATTTTACTCTTTGGCATTAAGCTAGTCAAGAGTTATTGAACGTGAGGCTCCAAGGTTAGTCCTGTAATGATATCTATTTCTGCGAATATAATTTGAGGTTGGACTGGTTTTTGTGAACTAAATTAATTACAATCGAATATAAGTTAAAATTAACAATTTCCAAAAAAAGTAATTATTTAATACATAAAAAGCTCGAAAAATCTGAAAACATAGCTGAAAGATATAGTCGGAACCGACAACGAGTTTTTAACCAGGACAAAATCGTATAATACTGTAAGTGCGGATGCAAAAATGTATTTTAACAAAATCTAAATCTTTCCTGACTTTAACGACTCTTCCACAAATTCATTGACTTTTCCAGAGCAATTAAATTCACTGTTTGTTTTTGCTCCGTTTTTCTAGAAAGTGACCACCCTGATCTCACTTTTCATATCATTTATAGCACCGACCGTTCGCCTTCCATTCAATGGAATGGAAAGGCAAACCGCTGCTGAGATTTGCCTCGAAACAAAAGCTGCGATTTGCCTCGAAAAGTCATAAGCCTCGTCCCTCGCCTCTACACAGTCTCCTCCAATCTTCATTCACCCCAGACGTGTATTTCGTCAGTCGCTGGGTTTGAGAGCTGGGTCCAGCGACTGGGCGGACGGGCGGGCAGGGGGGTGGTGGACAGCCCTGGCGCGCAACACAACTGGCTTTTTCCCTGCGCGGAGGATACCCCGCAGCCAGTGCACTTCCTTCCCGGCGCCGCATCCGCTTCGTGCCGGTTTGGGCCACTCCACCGCCGCCAGCGCACCGCCCGCTCGCCCGCCCGCCAACCATTCGTTCTGCCAATTCCTCCTTCAATTCGTTCTCATCGCCTCCCTCTTTGACCCCCGCATTCTTCGCCCCCTCCGTCATCGCGCTTCCTTCGCCCTCTGCTGCTCGTCACGCTTCCAGGATTCGCCTTTCGGCCTTGCCCCCGCGGCGCAGCGCGGCGCGGCGCGCGGTTGCGAGCTCATGCTTTTCCATTTCATTGCCCGTCACTTCACATTGATGAATGCAGACCTCAAGCGTGCACTAGAGGCCATCACAACGCACCCTGCCGACAGCTGCTTCAATTACAGAGAGGAATTCAAATAACCGGAAATGCTTTCAAGTGTTCACCACCCTTCTTACTACGTCTTATTTATATTATCTGTTTATAAGACATTTCGTTGCTTTAATCCTCTGGAATATAACCGTAATTAATTTCGCGTAAAGACTTAAATGTTTGCAACGAAAACATTGTTATTATCGTGTAATAATCGTTCTTGGAAATAGCTACGGGATACCACCAAGTAGGGACAATTATCATGATTTCCCCAGCATCGAGTACTAAGGTTCGCTTGTTACGAATTAAAACTCCAATTGCTTCGGAACTTTAGTTCTTTAAGAATAGCGCCAACGACCATATGCCCCTAGCGCTTACTCGAATTGCTAAGATACGACGGCAAGAACGTAGCGTGAGCTCTTCCTCACGGCGGTAGTCCCTTTTAACATCTAAGAACAGAGTAATTATGGCTTCATGAAAGAGACGATAATTTGCGAAGTTGTACTAATTCATTTTTCGTCTCCGCGCTTCCGCTGTCTGATGAATTGAGCATTAGCAACTCCCGGGCCCCGCCGCGCTGCTGCGAAGCGAGCTGCAAGAGCGCCCTGTCGGCGCGCGCGTGTACTAAGCGCAGCGGCCTCTGTCCGTGTTGCAGGCAAGCACGGCGCCGGGCGGCTGGCCCCAGCGCCGAACGCGGAGATGCCGCCTTTCCTGCGGCGCATGAACTTCCGCTGGCTGAAGCTGCCCAACGGCACGCGCGTGCGCACGCACGTGTCGCCGCGCCTCCAGAAGAAGCTACAGCACTTCCTGTGGGCGTGGACGGCGTGCCCGGTGACGCACGCGTGGCGCGACTTAGGCGTGCGCTACTGGCCGCGCTACGTGCTGGAAGGCTCCTGCAAGACGACGCGCAGCTCGTGCTCGGTGCCACCCGGCATGAAATGCGCGCCGTCGGAACGCGTGATCAAGGTCATCCTGCGGTGGCAGTGCTCGCCGGCCGGCAGCGCGTTGGCACTCGCGACGAGCGACAGCGGCGGCGGCGGAGGAGGAGGAGGAGGAGGAAGCGGGGGCGGGGGTGGCGGCGCCGGCGCCGGCGCTGGCGCCGGGGCGTCAGCCGCCGCCGGACTGCACTGCCAGTGGATGGAGATCAACAACTTCCCCATCGTGACCGGTTGCTCGTGCGGCTGCCCATCGCAGAACGGAAGCTAGGCCGGCGGCGGTCGCTCCCCCCTCAGCCAAAGAAGCGAGTGGCCAGCGTCGGGGAACCCCCTGCCGCCCTCACGCAGCCGCCCACTCCGCCCCCCTGCCCCTCCCCGCGAGGGTCCTGCAAGTGGCGTGTGTACATTTCAACTAATTTATTCCAAACTCAACGTGTTGAGACACATGAACAACTGTTGCGCGGTGACTGACGCTCGACGCGCCGAACCCCAGCGCAGCGCTGCGCTGCCGAGCGGAGGCCGGTCGCGCCGCGCCGCGCCGGCCGCTGAGGCTGCTGCTTACGTAACGCTACGCGGCGGCCGACAGTGATGAGTTTAATTGTGTGGGACACATGTCAAGATTTAATTGTGACGTTTGAAGAGCAAGTACCGCTAGCGAGTGTCCGTGGAATTTTCTAGTCGTGTGGACTGCGAGAGGTTGCGCGAGAGAAGCGCGAGCCGGCGGCGGCGCAGCAGCAAGCGCCGAAAGGTCAGACGGCCATTGTTGACACGTTTCGCCGGCGAAGGATGAACAGGAGAGGGCGCGAGGCGAGGCGAGGCGAGGCGAGGCGAGGCGAGGCGAGGCGAGGCGCGCACTTCAAACCGCCCGATTTGGGAAGCAGCCGAGGTGCGACGCGGTGGTGCGACGCGGCTCGACAGTCTCCTGATGAACTGGGGTCCTGACGAGTGTTCAAAGTTAATTGAATTAATGTCGAAAATTGTTCCCGCTTCTAATGTTGTTTGTTCAAATAATGGATATTTGGCAAAGGTTGTTTGGCTAAGAAGATTTGCGTAGAGAATTCAACATGTAAGAACTAAGACCCGTCAGTGTCAATTTGTAACAATCTCTAAATGGTGCCTTGAACCCACGAGCAATTTCGACTTATATTCATTTGAATCATGTTACGTTTTCGGTAATTAAACTTCGTCTTTATCATATGGTACAATTGTCATGCATTGGTGAAAATGAACGAAATGGATTGATTCGCATGTTGTGTGTTAACAATCCGATTAAATGTAGTTTATGTTTAGACATAATTGTTGCCATGAACGTGAAACAATCCTAGTACATAATACGTTCAAATCTTTCGAGGTAATGGAAGGTTCCGGGTTCGGATTCCAGTGAGATCAAATATTTGCACTTAGTGACAATCCATTGTAACTTCTGTTTTCCAGCTTTTGTTTACTACTCTGAATATTAGGTATTTCATCCGCATTCAAAATAGTTGTGGAGATAAAATTGTTGAGTCAGAGCTGTACTTAAATTATTTTCCAACTTAACCAGGTAGCGCATCGCCAGGCAACGAGATAACGTTCGGAGGTTAATCAAACGTGACGATAAAAAGCCCAACCGAGCCGCGCGGCCTGCGCCGTGGTCGGCGCCGTTTTGAGTCCATGCGGTCGGCAGAGCTGCTTCAATCTGTGCCTCGCCGCCACGCCACGCCACGCCGCGCCGCGCCGCGCCCGCGACCTTGGCGCAGTATGTCTTCTTGCACTCGTCAAGTCAATTAAGGCCCTCGTGAGCTGCCGCCGCCATCGTCGTCGTCGTCGTCGTCGTCGTCGTCGTCGTCGCCGCCGCCGCCGCCGCCGCCCCCGCGCCGCCCGCCCGCCGCCGCCCGCCGCGCCACCGCCGCGCCGCCCGCCGCCGCCTCACCCCGCGGCCTCTTGCCGCTGCACACGGTGGGCCGAGGGGCTCGGAGCCCCGACACCAATCAAACGGGAGATCTGAATCGTTGTACGTTTACAAGCGGCGGGCTGCCCGCGAGCCTTCCAGCCCAGGACCGAACTACGCCAGCCAATGTTGCGTATGCGGGGTGGAGGCGCGGTTGTGTGCGGGGGCCGCCGCGGGAAGAGACGACCGAGGAAAGAGAGAGAGAAAGAAAGAGAGAGAGATGTGTGTGTGTGTGCGTGTGTGCGAGCGCGTATGCGAGCGTGCGTGTGCGTGCGCTAGTGAGTAGCTTTAATGACGTACAAAGCGCGTCGGGCGCTCATGGGCGGAGCGGCCCGGCCGGCGCTGCACTGTTCTCTATATTAACACGGGCGCGCGGCGCACCCGCGCCCACTAATGTAGCATACGTTGTATACTGAAAGCGCTCTGTTCCATGTACCCGCCAGCGCGAGCGACGGCGACGGCGGTCCAGGACCCCGCAGGGGGGAGGTGAGGGGGCTGAGCGGCGCTTGCCCTGCTAAGCGCCCCTCACGCCCGCACTGCCCGCACCGCCCACGCCCGCGCCCAGCGGCGCTCTGGGCGGCGGTGGGGGCGGCGCCCGCCTTCTGGGCCAGTCCCAGCGGCACTACTGGCTTGAAATTGCTGTATTCTAATTCAGATGTCGATTTGTAAATAATACTAATACACGAGCATCATCTTCCAGAGCGAGTCGCACTATGAAGCGTACATTAAACGCTAACATTGTTGGCAGCATATTCATGCTGCCACACCAGAAAATTAAAGAGATTTTAAATAAGTGTATCTATTGTGGTTTGTCATAAAACTTCTTATTGAGTTCCTATTAGGTTGTAAATGCATTACACGAATTTGATATTACATTGTGCCATATACATGCAGCAGAGGCTACAAATTTCGTGTAAAAATTCAACACAATGTTTAGTCTTCTATTCCCTGTTACTTTTGTCACGTACAAATAAGTTCACTTACCTTAAGATTCCTTCGTAAGACAAATATTCCTTGTTCTCAGAGCATTGCGCCCTGATCTAGCGTGATTGGAACTTTGTCTTTCGCCTTGTTCGCCTTGGCGCCTTTTCGTGGCAAGCCCTTCCAACTGGCTCTCGCCTGTTTGGACTTTTCTTCGTCTCTCTCCCTCATCCTCTCCTTTTCGTCGTACCCCGCACGCCTACACGCTTTGCAGCCGAATACTTGCACGCTGATGTAACGTCTCGCAGCGTTGAGCGTTCGTAAAGCTTGTTGGTCGCTAATCGTTCTGGAATCGATGCTTTATTTTGATTACGTAAGCTATGGGACTTTGCAGATCGTTTTGACCTTGGTCGGGGAACACGGGGTTGCCGACGAGAGAAAAAAAATTAATTTGCATTGTAATGGAATACCGTTTGATGTGTGATTAATTAGCCAATCCTGTGTTCGCCGCCTCACCTCGCCCCGCCCGAGGCCGCCTGCCGTCGCGCCTGTGTATCGTTACCGCCGTTCGTACCTGTACATACAGCATTAAATACACTAACTGCGTCTTCTTTGAAAACCCTATCCTTGTATTTAATCCCGGTGCACGAAGACTCATGACTAACGTGGCGTGTGCAGGTGACTAATTGATTCTACTCTCTTCTCAGTTGTCGAATAAAAGTGAAAGTGGATATTTTATGCTTCTGAACCGCGAAAAAAAAGTCAGTGATTTTGATGACAAAGACAAATTAATGAATATTCATAAAAGTATCGTTTCGTATAACAAACGAAGAAAACTAAAATTGAGAACTAAAATTGAGATTTTGTACTGAGAACGAGTGTACTGAGTATAAATACAAGTAATGTCCACAAGAATATTACGTAAATAGCTATATCTCTACTTCATCTGCTGACGTCACAATTTAGTTCTGAGGCCTTGTGTTTGAGGAAGTAGTATCAACTCTGTCAGCGGTCCTAGCAGCTGCCTTGCTTTGCACCTACCCGCCTCAACCTTTCCCCTCGCGCCCGCCTTCCTCAGACAGCGTATGAAATATTTAAAGCAGAGCCATTAAAATGTATTGGGACGTGACTTTTTTAATGGCATGTGATCATCTTTCAACCCATTCTGGTTTACTAGAGGTGATGTCATGACTAAGTGCAAATAAAATATTCCATTTCCCCGCCACCCTGTCCTTATTCGTTCAGAACGCTGCAGGTTCATTGTGTCGCTCGGTGAACTGCAGCAACACGTGGCTAAATTTCCATCTAATCAACAAGACATACATTTTAGTTCATCATAGTTCGACGCAAAGGCTAATTGAAATGGTGTAATGATCAATAAATTTCTAAGTGTTAACGAGTAGCACTACTACTGTTTAATACTAAATTTCGTATCTTTGTTTCTATCGAATGTAAAATACAGATAGAACCTCCTCTTTCGACGTGTGGGAACATGAATGAAGTTGCACGTCATACATTTTTGTAGTGTACCGAGCGTAGAATATTTGTGAGTGGCAGCGTATTAACTGTTGACCACCGTTATTGCTATTTCAAAGAAGTTATCACAGTGTGAATTACACAGTCGTTACAGTGCTCTACAATATGCAGAAAGCAAATTCACCAATCAAAAAAGTACTTATGACTTACAAGAATCGTTCCTGAGCATGTTTGCACTGTAGTAATGAGCACTTCGAAATATATATGTGAGAGTAAAGTTGTCTTCATTGTCCATTCATGAATTCATTGCTCCATTCGTAATGTCTTTAAACTTTATTATAAGGATTATATCAGTAACTGAAATGGCCATTACCTTCTTACATCAAATGATTTCATTTTGTGTGTAACTGAAACCCTATTCTTTTATGAATTCTTTCACTTAAATTATTTTAGAATTTTATGACTTGAAGGTGAGAGGACATGTTATAGCTATGGATGACATCAATCCTATCAACGCCAGTGCCAGAGGCGATGACACCCATTAACGGTTAGCAAAAACTCGTTGATCTTTCCACTGTAAAATCTATCTTTGGGTTATTCTCAAAATTTATCATAGTAACCCATTTAATACACATAAAATAGTCTCTTAGCAATATTTTGCCCTTACGTAATGCTTAAGACTGAACTGCCGGGAAATGTACCGGAATTTGATGGTACGAACAGTAGTGTGTGATGTAAATCGTATTTTCTGCCAATAGCACGTCAAATGTCCTTAGCGTAAATGGAAATGCGATGTACATGGAAATAAGATTGTGTTTAAATTAAATAATTCTTAAAACTTTAAAAGGGACTTTAATTACAATATGCAATATTACACGTAGTATTGCGAGATTCTTCTGTATTAGCATGATTCATAATAAAATACAAAAAAAAAACAAAAACATGAATGTGTATTTTAACATTTATGTTAGGTTCAAGTACAAATGCAACATTGATTCAGAAGAAAATATTTTTCTTTACTTATCAGTTTGTTGAACATATTTAACAGTATGCATATTTTACTAAAAGACTGAAAAGAAAACATAGAACTTAAAAGGAATTGCTTCGTAAGGTTTGGAGACAATTCGTCATGAGGGCGTATGGA